CATCTTTTGGACTTTCCCACTCAAGAGTCTCCAGATGGTCAATTTCATGCCACAGAGATTTCAAGGTAGAGAAATAAACAGAGACTGGTTTCTCTCCTTGTTTGAGGTTATTTACCTCACACTTCAGTTCATAGGCTCTAGCAACATTAAGAGGTTGGGAGTAGGTCTCTTTTATGACATCCCATATCTCCTTGGCTGTCTTTGCCCACAAGTAATTTTGGCTGATATGTGGCTGCATAGAGTTGCACAACCATGTCATAACCAAGTAGTTCTCCTGAACCCACTTGGTATACATTGGGTCCACCTTGGAAGGTTCTTGCACATCCCCCAATAGGTAGCTAAGTTATTCCCCCAATAGCCATCATGGCCGATTGGGCCCATTCCAAGTAATTGGATCCGTCAAATCACACAGTTGTAATCTGAAATGCAGTCTCAGACATATTACCAGAATTGTTGTTCCCAAAGACACCTTCCCCCTGATTTTTGAACTCCATTCTTGGTTAAGAATCAGTAATTAAGAACTATTAGGGCTACTGCAATAGAAAACAGCACTTAAATAACTGATCACAGTCAGAAATCTGTATGAAATCAGTACAGATCTGATCTGAAACCAATCGACAGTCAAAATATAATCAGTCCGATAACAGTTCTCACCCCCAAAACAGGCTTAGAAGCCGAAAAAGGTCTAGAACCACTTAGAAAACAACCTGTAATGCTGAAGCAAAATTAGGGTTTTAATCGTAAGGTTAGGAAAACCTTTGTGAGAACATAGACAGTGCTCAGCCGCATCTTCCAAAGGATTCACAGTCAAGTCTGGCCGTAGGGTTAATGACAAACCCTAAAAAAAACTGATCGACTTTGAGAAAATAAAGGAGAGTTCGGCCACTCCTCCCAGATAGGTCCAACCTATCTTGACTGACAACAATCTCAAGGGAAAAATAAAAACTTACCCAGAAAAMTCTGATCGCTACCTTCARTCGTGGCCYGAACCCTAACCTTCTCTGATTCTTCCTGATTACCAAAACACTCTCCAAGCCTCTACAAGCCTTCGAACAACTGCTAAACCTTTCTGGTAACCTCCAAGAATTAGCCAACGAACAGTCCTTTGTAAGCTTCAAGCCCTAGACAGTTCTCATGTGGTCGGCTGGACTAGACACACATGAGAAACCCTAGATAGGCTCTGATACCAAGTAGTTGATCAAGACTACAGTCAGTCTTGGATTCCAAAGGATTTCGGATTGAGAAAAGTAGAAGGAAAGAGGGAGAAGAAGAAGAAAGCAAAAGTACACAAGGGTTTTGAAAAGGAGGGACAAATCGAATTAATCTGCCGCCGCCACTCTCTCAATATTTATATGTTATGTTCACTAATTGTAGGAAAGGGCAGAATTGCCCTTAATGCTTACATGGCAAATAAAACAATAATAAACTGAAATAACAAGCTATCTAAAATAACAACCAACTAACACTGACATAACTAACAAAGATTACATGTGCTGTCATACGAACACAGTGGGGACCACAGCCATGGGGCTGACATCAGTGTTCTCTACAGAAATAAAATAAAATAAAACCCTATTCAGGTACCTCACCTAACAGCTTAATCTTTTAGGTTGAATGGTTCCTTGAAATGGTATTAGAGCCTATTTGGCCAAGTGGTCTAGTGTTTGATGCTTGTCACACACCTTATATAATTAACTAAATTTCAGCACAAGGTATGGGTGCAGAATCCCTCTCAAAGAACCATTCAACCTAAAAGCTTAAGTTGTTCAGTGGGGTCCCGGAGTAGGTTTTTATTCTCCAACTCATACCCTCGTGCGAAAACCCATCAAGATTGAAACATGAACAAGCACAGGGCCACCTGTACCTTGTGCTGAAATTTAATTAATTATAAGGGGGCAACGAGGATCGAACACTAGATCATTTGGCCAAACAAGCTCTGGTACCATCTCAAGGAACCATTCAATCTAAAAGCTTAAGTTGTTAGGTGAGGTCTCTGAATAGGTTTTTATTCTCTAACTCACCCCTCATGTGAAATTCCATCAGGCTTGGAGTGCGGACAAGCACAGGGCCACCCATACCTTGTGCTGAAATTTAATTAATTATAAGGGGGGAAACAAGGATTGAACACTAAATCACTTGGTCAAACAGGCTCTAATACCATCTCAAGGAACCATTCAACCTCAAAGCTTAAGCTGTTAGGTAAAGTCCCTAAATAGGGCTTTATTCTCTAACTACAGTTACCTATCTAGGAAGAAGCTCAAGATCCCCACCAGATAAAACCACAACTTCAACCATGTACATAACATCTTTATTCCCTAGTTCACTTCTAACTAAGAAAACCCGTTAAGGATAGGCGATGCACACCAGACATAAAACAATTGCTTTTCAGATCGATTAGGTAATAATACTAAAATAACAAAAGAAATTGCTGGTCATTCATTTGTTGGACAAATATGGAAACACAGATAAACACATTTATTATTTAATAATGTCAATGCTGAAGCAAAACTGAAACTGAGTAAAATTAATAGGATCTCAGAACAAGAACATCAAGAAGTCCTTGAGAAATTAATAAGCTTTCACCAAAACACTAAATAGATTGGACTCAAATGTTTTAGGCTTGGTTGTGATACTTTTACTTTTGGATTGGAGATAAGCTGTTTTATCTCCATTTGCTTTCTGTACACCTCGTAATTCTCTATTAATATTTTAATGAAATTGCAGTTATTAATTAAAAAAATGCTTCTGACATATGTTTACTAATTTTCTAGAGTTCCAGAAGGGCATAAGTGTTCTGTGTTATGAAATAGAAACTGGGTAAAAGACTTTTTTTTCTATTTCTTCAGGGTAAAAGACAATTGAGCAGGTGTTTTCCAACACAAACAGTTTCTTAAATTTCACATAAGCAAAAAAAAAAGAAAAGAAAAAACAAAAACTAAAACACTTTTTGGGATGTGTGTTTTCTCAAACCAAGTGAAAAACATTTATAGTTTGATTCAGAAAAATACCCCTATTTCTCAAACCAACAAAAAAATGCTTCCAAAAACAGAAACATGTTTTCATTTCTAGAAGGCTGACATGAGCTACATTTCGATGTGTTGCACACACAATGAAATCTCCTGAAAATCCTAAGTTCTGCTTTAAGCTTCTGTGGATCTTTTTATTTTTCTTTTTTTAATCAGTAATGATTCTAACAACATAATAACCCAGATCTAAATGGATTTAGATCAAAAATATAAAAAGAAGTAATATATGAAAGGTGAACTAGAGAAAATCATGCTTCTGGAGACAGAGATTCAATAACATGTTTCTGGTTTTAGTTTTTGTCAAAAAAAGGAAAACAACATACACCCAATAGTCTAATATAGTGTTTTATGTGCATTTCTTTAAAGATAGTTTTTTCTTTTTCAAACCACCTGCAGGGACCAGCTTTCTTCAAATCAAAACAAAGAAACCAATTCATATTGGGGAATACCCCCTCAAATATCAGCCTCTCTACTGATCAAAGAAAAAATATCAGCCTTTCACACAAGGAAATAAAACTATGCACCTAATCCACCTCTGAAGTCTGAACTAATGTTTTTAGCAGTTATTATATCTAAGAATAGGAAATATTAAATACACAAAAGATGCATTCATATTTGAAAAGATGTTTACTATAGGACGAAAGCAGCATTCATATTTGAAAACAAATTTTTGGAAGGAGTTTCACTGTACCTTCTCACTGCGAATGTCCCGATCCACAAAATAACGACTCACATGCACTGGTTTTTCCCTAGATGCATGGACATAAATAGAGAACCTACCTTCATGGCCCTGGGAAAAGAAAAACATGGCTATTCAGGTGATTTAGATTTTAGAATGTGCACAAGTAAAAGGTTTAATCCAAATAGATAAATTTATGTGTTTTAGGCAACATAACCAATGGATTTATGTGGTTGATAGAAATCTAGATTTTTATTATTAACATTATAAATAAAATAATGGGTATCATCTCTTCCATACACTAGCAACTAATCAGCCACTATCCCAGATTGTAAAGATATAATTTATTTCACCTGCATGGGGAATAATGTATGAAAAGTCATTTTAGTTTGCAAGTTGTGTCATATTTAAATTGTAAACTTGTAATATTCCAATAGAAAAAGCCCTGAAACTCCTAATAATGTCAACTACTTGCACCCATTGAATGAAGCCCCATCAAGTTTCTTGTTATCGCTTACAGTGCGCATCTGCAGCAAGGCAAGGGACTATAGACTCATAAGACCAGATGTAGGCAAACCCTTTTCCACTACCACCTGTCATGGCAAGTTGGTAACTATTATCCTGCTCACCAGTATGGTCCAAAGCCCAATTATTTCCCTCTCCCCCATTTATAGGATATAAGAATTTTAACATCTAACCATCCAAATCCAAGGGTCAAATATGTTCATGGGTAGAGTCAGTAGACAATAGATTCTCCCAGTGGTCAACTAAAAGCAACCTAGGCTGCTAGATTGACGAATAGTAGACTGCTAATAGCATAGTTTCTTTCAGATGTCATTGCCCTTGCAAATTCTGCAGGAAACCAATTTCATCAGTTGATGGTAGGGATTACAACCTTCTTGAGCTTTGCATTGTGGATACTACAAGGATGGTATAGAGATATTGGGCCGGATGGTAAGGCTAAGTCGGATCAGATCCCATTCGAATCCGAATTCAACCCAGTAAGAGCCAGATTTGGATACCTCCCTTGATCCTAACAAACCGGATCGTATCAGAAAAGTCGATCCGTTTAGTTAACGGATCGAATTCAGTTATACCCAAGTCCGATCCACCACGATCTGATTCAATCCGTTAGTTATGAAATATTATATATTATATATGTATATTGTATATATTATTTACATAATCATATGTTATATATTATATATTATAATATTATATAAATAATATAATATATTGTTTATATTATATCATCAAGTTTTTTTATTATATATCTAATTGAATTGGATCCGGATCAGATATCCAATAAAATATTCAAATCATGCCCTTGAAAATCCAGTCAGATTTCTTAATGGATTGGATCAGATATACCCTTTACCGAATCCAATCCTATCTGTTTGCAGCCCTACCGGATGGGCCCTAATCATGTTTTATCATTTTTTGTGTTAATGGGTCCCATTTATAAGGGCTTGTTAATGTTTATTTAAGATGCTAATGAGCTGGCTGCCCTGTTAAGGGCACCTTTGCAATTACACATCTTATTAGAATTAATTAAAAGTAATTAGGGGAAGGAAAGATGACTCATCATACAACTCTTCTCCTCCCTTTTCTTCCATTCTTCTTCTCGCTTGTGTTGAACCTATCTTTGAGTCTTGAGAAACCTGCCCAGAATCTTCATTCTCATCCAAGGGTGTTAGAAAAAAGCCTCTTTAGGATGTTTCTAATTAGGAGAAGCCAATTAAGCCTAACTGGTCCGAGAAAGCTGTTAGGGATGAGTCTGATTCAAAAGAGGTAGGCCCAGAAGAAAGCTTGAGAAAGGTCTCTAAAAAGGAAGAAGAAAGAAGAAAGCTTGAGAAAGGTCTCTAAAGAGTTTGGGGCAGAAACATGGAATGAGGAGGGAGGCCCAGAAGAGTTCGGTGATGTGGAAGATTGACTTGTGCCTAGCATATTGTGGATGCTTTTGTTGGAAAGGAATACAGCCACAGACAGCAGCAGTAATGGGCGTTAAATTCAGTGTTCCTATCTTATCTCTTAGCTAAATTCAGTGTTCCTATTAATTAGGCAGTAGCATTATTATTTAAAGATAAATGTTGTTAGGAAGTGTTCCTAAAGAAGGACTCTTATCTTCTTGTAATTTCCTATTTAAAGGAGCAGATGATATTCAATAAAATTATCGATAATTTCAGTCAAGAAAGAGCTGAAGAGAGTTGGTGATCTCTTTAACAAATCACCATAAAGGCGCTAAAGATAGGTTCCTCGAGAAAAGGGAGAAACAAGGGAAAACAAGAAGTTTTCCCCGTTAACCGACCTGTGACGAGATCTTATTCGCGAGCCCTTAACAATTTGGTATCAGAGCAAGGTGTCATGGGTGACTTTGAGCAATTGAAGACTAGGGTTCATGATCTAGAGCACAAATTCGTGGAAAACAGCAAGGAGGTGTGCGAGATCAAGGACGAGGTTCGAGAATTGAGGCGCTTGATGGAGTTATATTTTTCCAGCAAGGAAAAGAGTTCAGAAGGGGCTGCAACCACAGACGGCCGCCGACCAGACATGGCAGAATCGTCCGGCGAGCAGCAGGTCGTTACCCAGATGTGGAGCAGTTCAGAAGGGGCCGGAATTTCCTTACTATAATGGAACTAGAGATCCTTTGGGATGGTTGTACAGATGTGGAGCAGTTCTTCCGCAACCAACGAACTGAGGACAGGGACAAGGTAGGCTTAGCCATATTCCACATGATACAGGAGGCGCAACTCTGGTTTTATAAATTGGAGCAGGAGGAACCTAGGCTCAGTTGGACCCAATTCAAATCCTACTGCCTACTCAGATTTGGGCCCCCATTAACAAGCAATCCATTAGGCGAACTAATCAACCTCAAACAGACTGGAACTGTGGCTGAGTATCAGCGTCAGTTTCAGACCCTCCTTGCAAGAGCATCTTCGGCACGACCAGACCAACAGGTTGACATGTTCACCACAGGGTTAGCGGAAACTTTGAGGGTGGATGTGGAAATGCAAAATCCCCCCAATCTGGTTACTGCTATGAATTTGGCTCGCGCTTTTGAACGCAAATTGCAACTCAACCGCGGAAGTATCAGTATAAGGCGGCCTCAAACAACATGGGCAGCCCCGAAACCACTCGGAATGGCTCCATCTTCAGCTGCCAGCCAAGAACAGAAACCACAGACGCGCTTTTGAACGCAAATTGCAACTCAACCGCGGAAGTATCAGTATAGGGTGGCCTCAAACAACATGGGCAGCCCCGAAACCACTCGGAATGGCTCCATCTTCACCTGGGCATCCAGCGTGGGAAGCAGCATTGTTGCACCCCCTATTAAGCGCTTGTCCAGGGCTGAAATGGCGGAACGCAGGACAAGGGGACAGTGTTTTAATTGTGACGAACTTTACTCAGCAGGGCACAAGTGCAAGAGACTTTTCTGCCTCCTGGTGGAACAAGAGGAAGATGAGGATGAACCCTCTTCATTGGAACCCGATCCAAGAGGGCAAAATCATTCCCCAACCTCAGTCTATTGTTCGTTCCAGAATTAATCGAGGTGTTGTTGAGGTTCTGGTGGAATGGGCCAGCTTACCATTGGCTGAAGCTACCTGGATTCCTTTGACTGTATTTCAAGACACCTATCCTGAATTCGAGCTTGAGGACAAGCTCTTAGTCTGGGAGGGGAGTAATATTGTGGATGCTTTTGTTGGAAAGGAATACAGCCGCAGACAACAGCAGTAATGGGCGTTAAATTCAGTGTTCCTATTTTATCTCTTAGCTAGATTCAGTGTTCCTATCTTATCTCTTAGCTAGATTCAATGTTCCTATCTTATCTCTTAGCTAAATTTAGTGTTCCTATTAATTAGGCAGTAGCATTATTATTTAAAGATAAATGTTGTTAGGAAGTGTTCCTAAAGGACTCTTATCTTCTTGTAATTTCTTATTTAAAGGAGTAGATGATATTCAATAAAATTATCAATAATTTCAGTCAAGAAAGAGCAGAAGAGAGTTGGTGATCTCTTTAACAAATCACCATAAAGGCACTAAAGATAGGTTCCTCGAGAAAAGGGAGAAACAAGGGAAAACAAGAAGTTTTCCCCGTTAACCGACCTATGACGAGATCCTATTCGCGGGTCCTTAACATAGTATCTGCATCGCGTTGTTGTTGCAGTTGTTGTAAGAGTGATGTTGTTCTCTTGCCTACTTTGTCTTTTGTCGTTCTTGATGTTTGGCAGTAGTAGTTTGGGTTTGGGGGTGTTATCTTAACACCTCACTTGAGGTTGTATTCAGTTTCTTTTTTCTTTTTACTTATAAAAAAAAAATCTTTTTCACCTTTTCTTCTTTTCTTTTGGTTATTCTTCTACTTCTTGCTACAGATTTGATTTTCATCTGATGGTTAAGCTCCCAAGCTTCAGTCTCTTGCATGATTTAATTTCTCTACTGATAAATAATCTTTCCTTGACTATACCATTCCTTACATATTGATTACTCTGTCAAATTCGTTTCTCTCTCCCTATACATCCTCTTTCTCCACCTCAACCCATCAGTGTCACCCACCTATCCACATAGGGAAGAACATGGGCCATACAATATTCACTTCATTTTTGAAGCCTCAATACCTGTTTGTGCTTCCAATTTGGTCATTTCTCATTAGAAAGTAACCAAATTCCTCTAGCCTCAATAGAAATGAAATTTATAAGATGTGCAAGGAAAAATTTTACACTTTAAGCTGGCTTTTCCCATATACTGCTCAAATTTTTCATCATTTTGCAGCCTTTTGGGCCAAGCCAGGCCCCCATCCAGATTCCATTTGTTAGAAGCATTATGTATAAACAAGGCAGTTTCATTACTCAACTTGAACAAGGGTAGAGTGGTAACAATGTTTTAAAAGCTCAAGGTGCAAAAAGAGCACAAGGGGCAATTTGTGCCCGCACACCTTTTTGAAGCAAGGCGCAAAAATACAAAAAAAATGCCAACATATTTGAAAAAATGTCAAAAAATTAAAAAAAAAAAGCCAAACTTTTCAAAAAATGCAAAAAGAAATAAAAAATATTAAACATAATATTAATAAAAAATACAAACTTAAATTTTAAAATAAATGTTTTAAAAAACCTATT